TTATGGCCATAGTGCCTGTTCTTGAATAAGTCCAGCATTGTTCCCTAGAGTGTTCCAGTTGCCTAAGATCCATAGATCCTGCTCGAATGAACTCCAGAACATAGGATGGATTAACATGATATATTAAGATTTCAAGTGTTGTAAGATAAAGAAAGGCCATCATCTTACATCATTAAGGCCTTATACATATGAAGGTGATTCCCTTTAGATGTGGGCCAATTGATGGAAGCCTCAGGCTTGCAAAGCAAACACTTTATCAAATGAGTTACCTCCTTGGCCCTCAAAAAGATATAGAAAGGGACATGGGAAAACTTACTGCTCAGAGACAGGCTGATCTTTATATAACAAATAAATTCTTCCATTCTATTTATTCACATGCCCCTAAACAATAATTTTTAAGATTTCAAAGATTTTTGTTGTATGACATGTGTTCATCTGATTGACCTTGTCAACAATCAGTCCCTATTTTCACATGCATGTTTTCCATAAGTGATGACATAAAGGAAATAATTATAAATGAAAGCATTGGAAAGAGAAGGCGGCAGGAACATGGGCTTTGGTTTGCTAACACAGATGAAAAACTACATTAATTTCTTGACCACACAACACAGTCATTTCTTTGTACTTGGAATTTACTGTCTTCCTTTGTGAAAAAAAATGACAAAGAGGCAATAAAATAGAGTGGGTTCTTGTAGCCTCTCAGTTTTCTAAGTAGACCCATATTAAGTGGCAGGACACGGTCAATGTACATGGCTATGTGTATTCTGGATTGAATAGTATGCAGGTGGTGCTGCATGTGGAGTGTTTGGGAGCTTTGGGGTGTGGGGCCTATCCTGAGTTAGTGAGTCCTTTAGGGCCAACCTCTAGGTGTTGGAGTCCAGTTCCACTTCTGCTCATTCTGTTTCCTTGGTATGGATGCAACATACCAAATTCGTCTCCTGCAAATGAAGCCACCCAACCTTCCCTGCCAGCTGCCAGGTACTCTCAAACATTACAGAATGATCCCCTTCAATAAGTCACATGAACACTTCCTTCCTTCAGTGATTCTGCTTAGGTCATATCAAGGGGGGAAAAAAACAATGAATGATTCCATGAGAGTCTCATCATGGTTCCTGTCTGTTTAGAAGGCCTCACACTGCATCTGACCCAGAGTCCATGACCTACAGGTAAGAGTCTTGTGTTTTTCAGGTGGGTCTGACTAGACAAGTCATTCTCAGTACTGTTCCCATCATCGCCACCCATGACTGAAAGAAAGCCAGCAGAGAGAGTGAATCACACACAGTGTCTGCCATAGGTGAAGCCACACTGCCTCACACAAGAACCAGCTCTGCTTTCCTTTGGTTCATATCATTTCACCAGAACCAAAATAGGCATTTAAATGTGGTTTTATGCTCTGTGGTGGTAGTTCTACTGGTGGACTAGAGAAATTAATTTCCACTTTAAAACTACTACAAGGATTCTTCATTCTCTTTATAGTAGGGATACTATATAATCTACAACTACTGATAATAACTATAATTAATTATTGAATTTCCACAGTACCGTCATTAGTGCCACAGGTCTTTTGCAGCATTGTTTCAGACATGTCATTGATTGTAGAGGTAACGGAGCACCGAATGCCTAGCTTCCTCAATATGGCTACAACTTGAATGCAATCAAAACAAGAATGTTTAGTTCTGCTGAATTCATTTAAAAAAACAAAAACAAATAAGGAACTAACAACTGTTCTATGTTTAACATTCCATCTCATTACTGATTTGCGAGTACACTCATTTAATTCAGAATATCACTTTTGGAAAATCCTGGAAATCAGTGTTGACTTATTGGAGATATGACATGGTCAGTATAGGTGCGGTGTCAATTCACATGGATGAGACAGTATCAACAGAAGGGCAGTGTGACTGTGTGAAGTGACCAGCATCCAAATCCCTGTAAGAGGCATGTGAACACATTGAAAATGCAATTGCTCAGTTCTGCATTCTTGACACTTGGCACTATAATTTCCTAAGAACTCACATCACACCTAATGAATCTAAAAAGGTAAATGAAGGAAGAGCTCTGGTCTGCTGTGGATAGTGCTCTGTATACTGTGAATGTGTTGCTCTGATTGGTTAATAAATAAAGTGTTGATTGGCCAGTAGCCAGGCCGGAAGTATAGTATAGGCGGTGTGAGCAGAGAGGAGAATTCTGGGAAGAGGAAGGCTGAGTCAGGAGTCGCCAGCCAGACACAGAGGAAGCAAGATGTGAAGACAGAACTGAGAAAAGGTACCAAGTCACGTGGCTAAACATAAATGAGAATTATTGATTAGTTTAAATGATAGAGCTAGTCAGTGGTAAGCCTGAGCTAAAGCCAAGGAGTTTTAATTAATATAAGGCTCTCTGTGTTTACTTGGGTCCAAGTGGCTATAGGACTGGCAGTTGAGAGAGGTTTGTACTGACCATGCGCCCTGCAGGTGGAACACAGGAAACCTTCAGCTACACTGGTAACAGGCACTAGTGCCACAAAGGTGCTCTATGGCGCTTGGTCTCTCCAGAACCACCACCTGGACGGTGATGCTTACAACCAGAGAGGCTGTTTGGATGACTTCTGGAAAGAGCATATGCTTGCTTCATCATTTACACAACACAGCTTTTTAAAGTTCACAGACATATCTAGTATTACCTTCACAGAAAGGCACTAGAGAAGAAGACAATCA